ACAACTACTCTCACAGACGCCATAAGAGAAATAGAACGGGATAACGTGGCAGTTAGAAGTATTCATCGACGAGTACATCATCTTCGCTTTGCCAGTGATATCATTCTTAAAACATCAAAAATTAAGGAGGTCGGCCGAATTCTTATCGATTTCGGCAACCTCTTTGGAATGATCGGTCTTTGATGGAACATTTCGAAGGCAGTACATGTGAAAACCCTATTTCTTCTGTTATCCTATTCGCACTAGACGGAATGGATGTTTCCAAATGCTACAGATGTGCATATTTGTCTCGAGATAACCTGATGAACGACTTAGATGATGAGCTGGTTAGAACGAAGTGAGCTTATTGGAAGCTTCGCTTCTACTATTCGTGCCTTATCGTATGCGTGGGAAATCTGGATGCTATATGCGAAGGATGAAAGGTCAGTTAGCCTTGTAACCGGACACGTTATCGTGACGACGATGAAGGGAGTATACCACCTAAGTTAGAGGTAGATTCTGAGGTTTCGCCAGACGCAAGCGACTAAAGATCAAGGACCAAAACTCTCTGTCTACTCTAAAAAAATTTTGCAAAACCAGGTCGGTCGGGCACGTGATGCGCCCTAACGACAACATTCGGACAAGAGCCGTCACTGGTTGGTTCTTCGGGATATCAAACGCACAGCAGTAAGACCACCGACGCGAGTGTCACATTTATTTACAGTGATCCTAGAAGTAAAACGTTGTGCTGAACGAGTCACTAGAGCGAACAGATTTTATTGAGTTAGTACGCGAGACGGATAACTGGATACATTGCCGGAGGGCGCTCGATTCACTCGATGATGAACAGGCGTACAGTTGGCACAGGATGTTTGTAGTCTCAACTCAAAGGAAGATTAGTAGAGGTTGAGAATTGTCCAGTACTACCAGGACAAGATGTAATACTTAGTTCGCTTATGTATATAATATTGCATTAGCTTTTGGTCGTCACGGTAATTATTTCTATTCAAGTACTTCTTAGGGTTCGGAACGAAACTGGGTCTTTCAAAATGAACCTTACATTGTACGTTTAAGAGAGAAGCAATTAGATTTTAAAATAATTGAAAACTAATAAACTCTTATAATTATCAAATGATTGCACAGGACACCAGCGGTTATTTGTTAATTCGTCTTGAGTGGTGTGTTTATGATCTTTTCAAAAGATATCACATACACGGTGGTCTGTTGCGTCTTGTACTATACTGAAGTGTTTTCCAGCATCGGCTTTGTGTTAAGTTCTGCACTGTTCAATAAGTCCATGTTTTTTTTCTTGAGCAGACACGAGATTGTTTATAACGAGATTTGGCTGATTTTCCGACGCTTTCGCCTTCTTCAGAGAGCGGAAAGGTCAAATTTGAACACACAGTCTATTCAGCCCACACTAAAGTACTAAGATGTATTAACACATGGCGTCAGACATACACTGATCCCAATTCAATGGTATTGAAATAGTGGCTGTTTTTAAATTTACACCAGCAGATCTCTAGCGCAACAGACCTTCTTAATTGAAATGAAAACCGCTAGAGTTAACACACGACAACAGGCATGCAAGATTTTCGTGAATTAATTTGAAAATGGAATTGTTCCATTGATCACGCAGGTCCAGCTAAACACGGCGTTGTTCGGCAGTGTACTAGCAGTTGTTAGTTAGTATTGGCTGCTGCGATGCTTATGTTGAGGAGTTCAAAAATTTAGTTCTTTTCGGGTTTTTGAGTTTTTTCGTTGTAAACGTACCTAAAATTAAAAGAAGATTTATAAAAGTTGTGTATATGGGCGGCTATTTCGCAACTTCCCAGCCGCTTCATTCGATCGAGAAAATACCATCAGTTGTCGAAAAACCGATATGAATCGTCTCACGTCTACAGCGTTTTAAAGCATTCTTGTCTTAGTTCTTTCCCGTACCAACCTTTTTTTGCACCAGATTTCCATATCCCATATGTGCATATTTTATGAAATTTAGCGCTTGGTTTACTTTTCTGAGTTACAACGCTGATGATATCGCGATGGAAATACTTATTTGTTCCATAAAATATGCACGACCATATGCAGATAAGTAGACGTTGGAAGACTGAAGGCTTATAACTGGTAACATTGCTAGTATGGTGCTCCTGTAAATCTTTTCTTTCTCAGTGACGATGTTTATAGCAGTTGTATACCTATTTATTCGGAAAGTTGTACTCTAGAAAACAATTGTAGCGTTGATAGTTTTCATGTTTAACGATGCCGTTGTCGGCTAAATCAATATTTTGTTTGTTTCTGAAAGATTAGCAAAATTACTGCAGTGATGATAATCATTGTAGAAATCAGCGATTCGTTCGCCAAAGTGCTAGGCGACTTTTATTTGAGATGACAGTGGTTTTAGGGTTGGAAAATATGTTCCACACGAAAAGAAGATACCTGATTTTTGTCGTCCGTTGATCAGTCATGTTTGTTTATTAAGACCATTTTGCAGATGCTAAGCGGAAAGTACATATAGCAGCTGTTTTTAAGTGCACTCGTACTTTTTGCACCGTATCGTTTCGATGTCTGTGAACAGCTTTCGAATACGACCTCGTGTTTTATTGGTGTTCTTATAAATTATTAGCAACCACTCGCTAGCCTGTACTATCGTGAAGTGTGTATTAAAATGAGATTTAGCACATCTAGAATTTCATCAACACATGCAGCAGTAGGCCTGATTTTTTTGTGACGCCCAGATGAATCATCCAATTTTTCACCGTAGGCGGTGTTCACTGAAGAATTTGTCAGAGGAATGCTTTTCTTGAAAGTCGTTTACTTGAGAGAATAGCGGGCCATCTGTGCCAGAATATCTGTGTCTAATGAGGTATCGATGGAATTGAAAAAGTGCAGTAAATAAACTCTACGAAAAAAATAATTAATCGGTAAAAATGTACATTCAAATCAATGCGTGTGGGCTATCGTCTCCACAAACGTCCACATATCTACACATACGATCTCTTATGTTTCAATTAAATATGGAGAGTATGCTATTCTTCAAACTAACTCCAACCCTGGAAGTGTGAATAGTGCGTTGGAAGCGTATATATATATATATATATATATATATATATATATA